TTAACAAACCAACCAACCAACCACCCAACCAGCCAATCAACAAGCCAACCAACCAACCAACCAACCAATTAACAAGCCAACCAACCAACCAACCAACCAACCAACCAACCAACCAATTAACAAGCCAACCAACTGGCCAACCAACAAACCAACCAACCAGCCAACCAATCAACAAGCCAGCCGGCCAACCAATTGACTGAATGGCCAGCTGACTATCAATCAATCAATCAATCAATCAATCAATCAATCAATCAATCAATCAATCAATCAATCAATCAATCAACTTTGTCATTAATTTTTTGTGTTGAACCCCAAAATCCTTGCAAAAAGTTTCATTTTATTTGATTTTGTGTTGTATTTTCTTAATACAATATAGAGGAAGATGAGCCAAACCAACATTTATTAAATACCTACATGTTTGTTGTTTTTCCAGCATAAAGTGAAATTTTTAGTGAAAACTGCACTAATCTTTTTTTTCTGTTACTTGAAGTGTAATCTGTCCTGTTTCGGCCTAAGCGGACAGACAGAAATTCACTAACCATTATTCAAAAACAGCCCTTGTTTTATCCCGCTTGATTAGAAATGTATTTATTAGTGCCGCTCCCGGATTTACTCACTCTAAAAGATGCGGCTATGCAAAGTTTGACCTGAAGGGGCAGCAGAACATCAGAAATCATGACTCCACCGGGGCTCTTCCTGCAATGCACAAAATGTCCACACGATGGCAGCAAATGAAAAGAAATCTGAATTTGATCGACCGTTTTCTGCTTAATTCATTCCTTACTTAATAAAAACAACTGAAGCAACAAACAGGCTAAACAGAACACGTACAATTTATATTGTTTACTCACTAAAAACAAAAGAAAGAAGTCCAGCTGAAGTCCATCATTATGACGAATGTTATTACTATGGATTTCATTATCCGTTCAAAAACGTGATTTACCCTCAGACAACATAAAATTATCTCATTTGTAATGCTGCCTAGCATCTACAATTGTACTTATTATAATTCGTATCACTTGAGCTGCTCCTATAGCGATATTTAGTCAAGATTAAAACAAGTTGCCGAATTTCCAGCAGCAACAATGAATATTGAGATTTAAATCAGGATTTTATACCAATGATTGGCAGCTGTTGTGCTAATATGCACATCTAAGGCTGGTTTCAAAAATAACAAATGTATCTACAGTCCAAAAAAGAAGATTTTTTAAAAGTAGAAAATAAGATACATCCCGCCTGATTTCAGTCAACAGTTATAAACACGAGGCAGCGTGAACGTAAATATTCAGCATTGCGTTATAATATCTTTAAACAAATATTTCCTTTCGTTTATATTGTTTTAGAACTATTTTATCACACATAAAACATCTTAGCTTTTGCAAATCAAGCTGAACACTAAAAATGCGAGATAGTGCTCAGAATTTGAAGGGAAATTTAAAGTCCTGGAGGAAAACTTTTAATGTCTTGATAAA